AATAAATAAATATATATATATATATATATATATATATATTATTATTATTATTAAATACATACATACATACATACATACATACATACATACATACATACATATATATATATATATATGGTCAAACTTGCTCGATAAGCCTTCAAGTTCGATTCAGGCGGCAAGCCTGTAGCGTCTCGGAGTCGGGCAAACTACTCCCTGCCACATCCACACACCGGGATAACTCCAGGAGAGCCCCAACATGCCGCCCTTCCCCCTTTGTTTTGAGGGATGACTACAAAGAGATACCACCCCACAGCCAGCATCTCTTGGCCCAAAGCTGCGTCTCAGCCATCTCCTGGGCCTGGCCCAAGCCGTAGAGCCTCACGGTGGCTTTCTTGAAGGACTTCGAACAACTGTGAGTGGGGCGCTGTAAAGGGTTCTATAAGGGTTCAGGGTTCGGTTTTCTCTTTCGCACGCTCCGTTTGCTGGCTTGCTGAATACATTTTTGATGTTCGAAATCTCTTCGAAGACGCTTTCAAGCCACAAAGGGTTATTGTAGAGGGATTTGGGATAGATTCGCAGGGATGTTACGTTTTCTGGCGGCTTTTCAGCGCCATTTTACCACGCCTCCGAATCCGCCTTGCGGAAGGCAACCGTGTCGACACTATGACACTATGATCAGCACGGCTCAACAAAATACCCTCAGAAAGACACCCTTTGGACTCAGCATTTCCATTCTTGGGGGTGTTAGGGGGTCAAGCGCTCAGAGGGCTTTGGGGTTGTGGGGTTCAGGGCCCCCAGAAACTGCGGATAACTTGAAGAGATTAGGGCTGTCGGGCTTATAGGTCTGATCTGAGCCGTTGATCGAAACCGACGCTAAATCTGGTGTATCCCAACTGCACAATGCCGTCGAAGTTCCAACATTATCTGCATCTGCTAGGGGAGACATTCCAGAACTACGTGGGCCTCACAAGCAAACTCACCCACGACTGCCTCTGCATGTGTCTGATTCGAGCTCGTCGCTGCCTCAGTCTGGACAAGTCACATGGCGATTCCAACATCCTGGCTGCAAGCAGCTGATAGCTGTCATGCATAGACCGGTGGCTTCAACCGGATCCACAAACCGTGAAGGATGAGCGCATCCACCTGTTGAAAACATCTTGAAGTCCAACGGAACGATGCATATCCAGACCCAAGAAACTGCTCAATGGCGGAAAGTCTTGCCGCAATTGAGGGGAGTATCCAAAGCCAGCAGCGTCACGAGAGGCGAGCGCCCAAGCAGATCATACGAAAGCTCGTCGGGGTCAGAGCATGCTTCGTGAACTTCGATTAGACGTGCAGTGGGGCCGAACGGCACCTCGTCGGAACGAGTTGTTGGTTGGTTTGGAAAGCCGTCGACGTTCCCATTGATCCTGGTCTGAACTGTGCTTGCGGGGGACCTGGAGGCTCAACCTACGGCCATATCCTGGTTTAGGGTTTAGGGTTTAGGGTTTCCTATACAACATCCCGGGAAAACCTCATAGAGTTTTGCCCTCTTCACTTGGTCAGTCGGGTCCCCGGACTCTTCAAAGGATGCCGCCTTCCTTGGCACTCGCTTGGAGAGTCACCACAAGGCTTTGTAGAGTTCAAAAAGGACTTGAGAAGTGTCTCATTAAAGGATTTACCTCTGATTGAAAGGAGTAAAAGGCGTCTTTAAGGTCCTTACGGAGCAAAGCCCGTCGCATGAATGTGGCATCTGAATGCACAAGAACGCTCCGACTGTTGTGGGACATTTGGTTGTACGAGTCTTCCCCGTCGTTGTAGTGATGAGGAGATGTGACCTTTTCTTGCATCAGTTGACAAACACACTCACAGACTTGGAACCCAACAGATGTACACACTGCATAGGCTCAGTGGTGAAACCTGTGCATGTCCAAGTCCTGGTTGATGTCGCCACTACTTCCCCAATCAAGCGAAGCACCAACAGCCGACCCGCTACAATACCCCCACCGGTCTGCATTTCGTGCACCCAAAGCGGAACCATGCATGTTCGGTGGCCATTCTAAAGAGACCATGCGCCACCCCGCCAATCCCGAATTCAACGGTAGCCCATCAATCCAAGAACCACAATAGACCACACCGAAGGGTGGTCGGGCAACCGATACCGCGCAATGCGAAACACAAGCCCCAGAGTGCAAGCCGTCATTTGCAGACGGGCCACGGCGGCTTCCCAGATGCTTTTCTGGCACCTCCTGGCGCTGGTTTGGATCTTGCTTGCCCATATTTGCTTCATATGCAACGGTCTCTCTCTCTCTCTCTCTCCTCACGGCCTGTCCGCCCTCTAAACCAGGATAAAGCATTTGTATGTGTACGGCCCAGGTGACAAAGCCAGCCTGCCGCGCGTTTCGCAGCAGCATTGCCTAATGCGCAATTAAACATTCCTACTGAGTTTCTTGGGGTTGGGGGAGCAGCGGCAAGTAGGTCAATGCGGACATCCGCTGACGACAGGGCAGACTGCTGGTTGGAAAGAGCTATCATGATGAGGACACACCGCATGGCAATTTCGAGTTGAAGGCGTGGCCATATGCATCGCTTAGCGCCCACGAAATCTGCAAAAGCTTAAAGCTGCAAGAGCACTTCATGGTGACCATGACCATGGCAGTGAAAAGGGGGCGGGGTGGTGGTGTTGGTGGTGGCGGTGACGACTCCGATGCATCACTGATGCAACCGATAGAGCATGGCGCTCGATAACCCAAGACTTACAGGCCCAGGCCCACATGGCCTACTGAGCTCGTCGAGCTGCAAGATTCGAGGCCTCTGACACTTTGAGGGAGCTCTGGTGTGGCGGGATGCTTTCGTGATGCTGTCAGACTAGCACTGATTCAGCGCCGATAACAGATAACAAGTACACGCATGCAGAGCACGCTTGACCAAACTAGCAGTATGCATCTCCGCCTGGGCCTCTGTCACTGCCCCGGCTGCTACTGCTATACCTCGCATGTGCTTCGGTGATGAGTGTGAAGCGAGAGATTTCTGGCTCACGGCCTTGCCGATATAACGTGACACAGGAGAAAGAGGGTACACCTAGCAGGTCCAGCCTTCTGCGGGGGTTTGAGGATGCTCATCGTGCGGGCGACAGCAGCTAACATCAAAAACCAGACTCACAATCATTCTGGTGATCACAGTAGCCATACCAATAATCACGCCAAGCTTACCAAGAATGGCCGAAGCCCTGGCGGAGACCAATCAGCTCAAGCGCAAACGGCTCAGGTTTCTTTGGCTCCCGCCGGCCTGTTTCCGTGCCGCATAGGCTTCTGCTGCTTTGAGAAGATGTTGGCTCATCCATCAGTCGGTTCGCAGGTCCCAAGGATTCGGGTAAACAAGTCCACACACGTCTTATCGCTGAAAGCCTGTGCGGCCACCTCAAGGCCAGGCCTGGCTTGGGCTCTCGAGCTTCACGCCCAGAAGGAAAATCAGAACTGAACGCCAGAGTTCCTGAAACCTTGGAGATGCTCCCTATGCTCAACAACCAGGCGGCAGACGGTCGGGTGCTACCGGTGCTGCTTCCACTGGGAAGGCGGGGCCTGCAAGGAAAGCCGATAACTTCTTCAAGAAGCTCGGGGCCGAAAAGAAGAAGTCTATATGCATAAGATGCATGGTGACCCGATGAACTAATTAAGGTTGTCTTGGAGTTCTGCTTTAACAAGCGCGACTTGACTTGGCCCACAGGTCGACTCGTTCCTAGCCTTGTCGGAGGTGCGCACGTCGCTTTGAGGGAGCACCCTAAACCCAAACCCCGACACGGATCGAGCCAGAGGCCTCTTCCTTCCTTTCGGATCTGAACTTCGAGGAAACGACTTCCCAATCTCCAGCCAGGAATGCTTTACCGTCTGAGGGCTCCAGAACCCTTCAACAAAAAGAACGAATCGAAACAAAGGCCTTGGTGGCGCCCATCGCCTGGCACTCCAGCTTCGCAATGCACGAAAGCATGTGATATCCCTGCCACCCTTCATCAATTTCCTGGGCCTTAAACTCCTGGAGCCTAAACTTATTTCAGTAACTGACACCGACAATGGTTCTGGTCTAAGTCTAGGAAGCATTGAAGCAAGATGTGCAAGCAACGCCACAACACTCGGCCCCACAGTTGCACTTGTTGGCTCCCCTGGAGGCCCCCGGAACACAGCGCGTGCAGCATGTGGCGTGGTCTGATTAAATTTGGGCGCAAGTTCGTCACGAGAGATACTGCAGGCTCAAGATCTGCAAACCCTTCCAAGCCAAACTGTATCCTCCTGCCTCCGATCGTTCGCCTTGCTCAGCCGCTCTACACCTGGAAAGCTCAGTGGCTGTACTCCGGCTGCGTCTTCAATCATTCTCACTGAAACTTCTGGTGCTGCGACCATGCAGGAGCTTGGCAACGGCTTCATACTCTTTGCTCAAATCTCAGCCTGAAGCATTTCGTCAGGTAAAGACCTGTCAGAAGTTTTCCGCGGTGTCATGCCTGAATCCGTCACACCTGGAAGCCCTGCATGTAGCCTGAGGCTCCGGCTGTCGCAGTAATCCTTGAGGCGAACCTGAAACTGCCATGAGTGTCACCGGGAACGGCGGCATAGCCCGAAGAGACCAGAGACCAAAGAGATGTTGAACCAGGGCTGCATACGGTGCAACAAAGGTGCAGCAACAAAAGTGCCCAAGTCGATGCTGTTGTCTGTTTGCTTCGCTTAGACCGTCCACCTCTATTCCCAGGCTATGATGAGGCTTATAGACGCCATAAACATAGCCACGAAGCCGAATGCCCCACATAAGCCAGCGAGCTCTCATAAAACCCGTGTGAAGCCCGATACAACACGCTCGGACCCCTACGATCCTCACAAGATCCGGAGCTGGAGACCGACTTCAAAGAAATCCGAGGACAAGGCCTGCGCGGAGGGCCCAGGAAGCCGTGCCTCAAGCACATTTCATGTAATATTATGTACGTTTATCATATCGTACATATTATGTCATCTTGTAGCTTTGGGTTTTCCACTCGCGACAAGCCTGTGCAACACGATTTGCAAGGCAAGGCGCAAGTGCTCAGCGAACAAGCAAGACCAGGGACCCAATCACTCATGCAGATATCATTGAAGGACCCACAACCACCCCACTGAACAAGCAGTTTGGCCTAAAATCATTAGTGTCGCAGAGGTTTCGACTGAATCACTCGCACAAGGCAGGCATGGCTTCAATCCGTCCGCATCGAAACTGCAACGGATCTCTGAAGCTCCGGCGGGAGCGCTGTTGCTGGAGAAGCCGGAGAATCCAGACCTGTCACATTTAAGGCGCGTGCGCGTATTCCAGACATCTTTTTTGTGTATGTAGGTACACATGCACACATCTATTAGAGTTGCGGGCGGAAGCCTGGATGTTGGATTGGCTTCAGTTCAAAGCAATGCAACTTTTGTCTCGAAGTTTTAAGGCTCAGGGTTGGATTGGGGCTTTCGGGTTACAGAGGTTGAAGACCGTCGGGTGCACAAGATTCGCCGGTTGCCCGCAGCTGGCGGGGTGTGTACCTCTAGGCTCTGTATCAACTGCAAATATAGATAGGTAGAGATAGACAGATAGATGGATGGATTCTAGATGATTCTAGTATATAGACATAGGTAAAGATGTAGATCTAGATATCAGTATCGATATAGATATACATGTAGGTTTTTGCTCATAGGAATCAATAAAACGGTGGATTCATGGGCCTCGATAAAACCCTTCCTCCAGATGTCGCCCCGGCAGTTTGCCAGCGGAGCAAAGCCCCCAAGTCAGGAATATGTATGCAGGGCTTCTGATTTTGGTTCAGAACGCGATGCAAAGGGTCGCAGGCTTGATATCGTAAGCCTCGAAGTGTCGGTAGGTTGAACGGTCGTGAAGACATGCCTCATGCCGTCTCGCTAGGCGAGGGTTTGGTGTTCAAAGGCTCCCTAGAAAGGTTCTGTGTAACAGCACTCATGTTCACTTTCCGGATGGGTGTCTCGATGGGAGGCTTGTTGCCAATTCGACTTTCAAGAGCCAACCTTGCCCGCACTCTCCACTGACAAGAGAAAACCTACAATCTGAGCAGGATCAGGACACAACTCACATACGGTAGGCGCGTGAAGTACCACCCGCTCTTACGACCATGTATGTACAAGGGGTGTCGAAGATCTTGAATAATTAGGGTCCCGTCCTGTTGGAATTTCCCAATCATGTGCCTGGACGAAGATGGGGATGCCTCAGCCCCGCGCTGACTAGAGGGCCGACTTCCTGATGAAGATAAGAAAGCATTTTGGAAAACGCTGATTTGGTGCGGGGTTCGGGGTTACCGGTTACCTTGCATGTAGATGTTGCATGGACACTATTTCTGTGTCATAGGCAGACCTCCAGAAACCGCGTGCCACCTGCTGAAGCCCATGCAACGGGGGCATGGAGTGAAGTACAAATAACGTTCGAAAGCCTTGAGACCCCCAAATTTCGAGTGGAGTGCATGACCTGCACAGGCTCAGGAACGCAAGAAGCAGTAATTTCGAAAGTCCAACTTCGAACAAACATACACACAACAATAAAGAAACCACAAAGAAACAACGATCCGGTTCGTAGACTGGGGATGCCGTATTCTACTGAGAACCCTGCTACTTACGTACTGCTTAGGTCCCATATTGTCCGCCCCACTTCTGCTCAGTATCCACGACCACCAGCTTTCCATACCTCCCTTGCCAACCATTGCATTAAAGCTTGGGACTTCCGGTGCGCACTCTCGGACATGCCAGCGCTTCAGGGGTTGGGGTGTTGGAGACTTCTCGATCTGTGCGTCTCTGAGTCTGTGTGCTATGGTCTGGGGTTTTATGCCACCCGCCTAGATGGCCGCGTGCCGGCTCGGCTTTAGGGTTTACTTTTTTACCGGCCTTTGCTGTCAGTCCGGTCAAACATCTTCGAACACTGCGGTCCTCAAGGATTCTTCTACCTGGAAGTCTTGAACCCGAAACCCTCGCACCTGGGAGCGACAAAGCCCAAACACCCTGAAGCACCCCCAGATCAAAAGCCCCATGAAGGAGTCCTGATCGTCCCACCACTCCCCTGGCGGACTCGTGAGCCTTGGTAGAGCTGCAGAATGATAATGGTGATGGTGATGCTGGCGCAGACGATGTCGAGAGGATAATATCACGAAGGCAACCCCTTGTCAGCCTTGTCCCGAAATGCAATCGTAGCTTTCACTGGGAAGCGGACAAGTGCTTGGTGCTGATGCTGTATCAGCCGTGCCAGCCTAGTCTAGAAGCGCGCAGGCAGGGCAACAACAAGCCCACCTTCTGGGCCACATCCGCACCCAAGGACAAGTCAACGATGATGTAGCCACATGTAGCAACATAGGTGGTGCATGACAGGAGACACAGAGAAGTGTGGCTCAACATAGTGCGGATGCTTTTGAACTCGTGGGCTGCATCTGTGCTTCCCTCTGCTGTCCATGGAACCACGAAGTCTTTGACTTCGTGGAAATGCCTAAGTAACAGACAGCAGAAACAAGGGCCTGGAAAGATGTATCTGTTTATTCGGAATGTGGAGAATCCACAATCAGGTATCCCGCTGAGTGATGCCAAGTTCAACCTTGGATTCCGTGCCCTTAGTTTGAGGAATGCCTCCATATGGAGAACAAGCCTCACTAACCGACTCGGCACAGCTCGAGCTTACGGAGTTAAAAGAATCATCATCCATCTGAATAGATGCCCAAAACTTGTGCAGAAAGTACTACGTACTATGTCTCACCTAACCTAAGCCCCTCAACTTGGCGGCGGAAAGTCATCGGCAGAGGCTGGCATACTTGTCGCACACGCTTGCTGTGGCGACCTTGTGAGGTAAGGTCGCCATGCTCAAACAGCTGAAAAGATGAGTTTGCATGCAAAAAACAGATGCCAACAACTAAATAAAGCAAAACAAAGGCACGTCCACGTATGCATACAAGTTGTATACACATCAGATGGAGGAGATAGATACATTAAGGAGACAACCAGACAAGTAGATCGATCGTACATATCATAGAGAGAGAGAGAAAGAAGAGAAACGTCGATTCTCAGCTAGACTCAATAAGCTGGAAGTCTTCGCTTCATGCGGTCGGACCCCTCTGTCGTGTGTTTCTTGACTCCCGGTATTCGGCTTCTTGCTTGCTCGGGCTTGCCTTGTTTCATGCTCGGGCTTTTCGTGTGGTCGGTTTTGACTATGAACTCCAACACTGATGCAGGCAAGCCTGACTCGACTCCTTGCCGGAGGTTCAGGGCTTGCGTCTGAGGGTGCTCGAGTAAGTTTTCGACTCTCACACTCGCCCAAGACGTGGAAGGCTTCGAGTAAGTTTGCCTCCCGCCTAGCTAAGGGTTTAGGGTTTCGACCGGCACACTCGCTCAAGGTAGGAGCGGATCAGGGTTGAGGGTGTTGCTTGCTAGGGCCCATATCCACAGACGAGTAGCTACTTGTGTCCTTGTTTTGGGACCAAGAACAGCCCTGGCAACCCTGGCTCTTCAGCTTCATCAATTCTAGACTCTAGACCCTACATAGGGAAGACTCTCGAACCCTCCCACCTTGCCACACACCTGGAGCCACCAGGAGCACATGTTGGCCCTTGCCGTCTCGAAATTCTCGGGGCCACCTGGCATCACGCACTCATGTGAGGCATCTGCAGGGCCTTTCGGCACTCCGTCAAGCCTTCACACTCAAAAGCCACAAACCCTGAACATTCTGACCAACACCCACTCCAAAGAAACGGGCCCAGAGCAAAATCTGAAAGAAATCCTCGGGCTTGTTGAAGACACCTAATAGACGTAAGATCACGCATCCAAGCACAACTTGTAAAACCGTACAGGAAGTCTGTAAACCCTCCACAATCCTGACAAACCTGCAAAAGAGACTCCATGACTCCATGTTCTAAGCACCCTATTTATAGAGTTGGGTCAACACCGTGACCCTACAGCAAGCCTTCTTGGCAAAAAACTCTCTCTGTCTCTCTCTCTCTCTCTCTTTCTATCTCTCTCTATCTCACAAGCAGAACAAACCCGCCACTATTCTAAACTATTCCGAATTCCGAGCCCAAACATGGAACCCTGGGGCCTTGCTGCTGGGCCAGGCCCAAAGTGCCCGCGCCGGCGCCCAAAGCGTCCAGGCGGCTCAGCTCGAAGGTCGTGCTCGGCACGCCCACCTGAGGGGGACTGGGGCTGCTTCCTTCTAGGGTTTTTTGGTTTTTCCTTTGGGTTTAGGGGTTTAGGGGTTTAGGGTTTCGACTCACCCACTCTGGGTTTATTTAGGGTTTAGGGTAACCCCTCCAGGGATTAGGAGATGATCTCATATACCATACCATCATTTGATACAGTATGATCGAGTACCGTAAGGTTGAGAAATATGATTCGAAGTATGTGAGAAGTTTAGTATAGGGCTTTGGCATCTCGGCCTCCTGGTTCGTCACAGCCGTGGCCGCTTGCGGCAAAACGAACTTGGAGCTCCCTGCGCTGCTTTTGCTGTGGGTCTTGGCTTTGACCAACTTCTTGGACGTGGTGCTCTTCGACGTCAATGACTTTGTCGAAGTTGTCGACTTCCTGAGCTGGATTTTCAGAGCCCCTCAAGCCCCCAAACTATGAAACCCCACCCTTCCAAAAAAAGTCTGTGCACAGCGTGAGACTATAGGTGACTAGATACATCCATCAGACCATACTGTAACACATTTTTTGAATATATTTCTTAGCAACAAACCCTTTCTATTGCTACCTGGCTTCTTCGATTTTACTGACTTTGTTGACTTCTTGGTTGACTTCTTTGCCGTAGTCGACGACACTTTCTTGGACGCCACTGCTTTGACGGACCTCTTCGAGCTTGATGTGGAGTGACGTGCCACTGTGAAACCAAATGGCTGCGAGACGGTCCCGGAAGCGATATCTGAGGCCTCTGTCGGTTGCACCTCGGCCGCAGGCTCTGCGACCTCGGCTGGCTCCACAGCTTCGCTGGACTCGGCTTCCTGGGAAGCAGGCTCCGGCTCGGCCTCTGCGCTGGGTTCCGCCTCCTCAACTTCGGTGGGTTCGGCTTCCTCCTCGGTTGCCGGCTCTGCAACTTCGGTGGATTCGGCTTCCTCCGCTGCAGGCTCTGCTTCCTCGGCCGCGGGCTCTGCAACTTCACTGGATTCTGCCTCTTCGGCGGCAGGCTCTGCGACTTCTGTGGATTCGGCTTCCTCTGCTGCAGGCTCTGCAACTTCGGGCTCTGCTTCCTCTGCCACTGGGCTGGATTCTGCCTCCTCGGCGGCAGGCGCTGCAACTTTGGTGGATTCTGCTTCCTCCTCTACAGCAGGTTCTGCAACTTCACTTGGCTCTGCTTCCTCGGCCGCGTCAGGCTCTGCAGCATCCGCGGCCTCTGCTGCCTCCTCGGCCGCAGGCTCTTCTGCCGCGGGCTCTGCAGCTTCGCTTGACTCTGCTTCCTCGGCCGCACGCTCTGCTGCTTCCTCGACCGCAGGCTGTGCAATTACGACGGGTTCCGCTTCCTCGGCCACAGGCTCCGCAACTTCGGTGGATTCTGCTTCTTCTTCTGCAGGTTCTGCAACTTCGGGCTCGGCTTCCTCAGCCGCGGGCTCCGCTGCCTCCTCCGCCTCAGGCTCCTCTGCATCCTCTTTGACGTCCACGGGCTCCACAGCACCGGCATCTGCTGGAAGTTCGGTGGGCGCCTCCTGGTCGGGGAGGCCGAAGGGGGATGGTGCCGCCCCGGCCCCATCACTGGGCACCGACTGGCTTGCACCCACACTCGGGTCATTGAGAGCCTCCTTCAGAGTGTCTGCTGGAGTTGGGGTCTCTGCCTCGGGAGGTGGCCCTGCGAGGCCTTTGAGAGTCTCCTTTTCGGCATCAGATGCACAGAGTGACTTGTAGCTCATGCATGCATCAACATTGAAGTTGTTGCGGCAGTCTTTCAACCAGCTCCCACAAGACATCGCGTCGGTCGGCGGTAGCGTTGGCACAGCCTTTGGAGACTCGGCCGGCAGAGCCGAAGACGACTCCACATCACTGCCCTGGGGAATCTGGGTTGAAGCCTCGGAGTCTACGCCGCCTACGCCTTTGCTGGCTGGGACATCCTTGGCCTTTGCCTTCTGGGTGACCTCCTGAGCCTTGGCTGGCTCTCGCTCTTCCTTCACCTGCTTTTTCTTCTTCTTTTGGGAAGATGCCGTGCCCTTAGCCGCCTTAGCCTTTCCTTCTTTCGACTTCGGCGCGGGGGATGTTCCGCTTGACTTCTTGTGCCCCGGAGCCTTTTCGATGTGCGATCCGGTCACAATCACCTCTACCGGCTTGGCGGGCTCCTGTGGCAAGGGTGCGTTGCTCCACTTGTCGTCTGCGGAAGTGAAGCCCAACCTCTCAATCTCGGCATAGTCGTGGTGAGGACGCTTTTGAGCCTCCTCAGTTCCTTCGGCCTGCCCCTGAAGCTGGCTTTGAGCTGCATCCGTGCCGTAGGCGCCTCAGCTAGGTTCTCTGGGGCACCCCTTAACAACCCATAGAAGGACCTTGTAGCGAAATTTTCGAAGCCGGGGAGCTGATAGAGAGGAGTTCCTGTGATGGGGTCATCAACTGAAGGAGGTTGGTCTCCTCGTTGAAGGACTCTGCATCGGCCAGCGCCGCCAAGAGCCAAAGGAGACGGAAGCCCATGGTGCTTTCTGCTGATGCTATCAACGGTTCGGTCTTTTCTAAAGGGCGCTATATAGCCTATCAGCTTGCACCTCAATGCTGCCAGGAGTTTCAAGCAGTAACAGGTGCGCATCGATCACATCCTGGCATCTACCTCTCAAGGAAGGCAAACATGTTTTTCAAGCTTCCGGCTTGTATTCTTGCCATGGGCCGATATACATGGCACCGCACCTGTGGAGGGAAGCCAGGGATGCACCTCTCCTAAGAGTAGAAGCCTCCTTTCTGTTCAGACGCTCCCAGGCTTCACTTTCACGAAGTTCTCTATTTTCTATGCCCCAAGACACGCAACTCAGTTCTCCACCTCCGGGCGCGACCGGCACAAAGCCGAAGAAGGCACCGGAAGTACTTCAACCGACCGTCGATCCGTGGAGTCGGGCCGTAAGATTATAAGACCCATCGAATGCATGACTCGGGGATGAGAGTCGTGCACGGTCTCGTCTAGAGTATAGAGTGTCTGTACAAAGTCGTAGACTTGGCTATCTACGCCTTGGCTTCTGAGCCAACTGCAGACATGTATCTCAGGCCTCAAGCCATAGACCCATAGGCCTCATTGCATCTTCAGACTCAGGGTTCACAGAAGCCGAAATCTCACAATACTGGTCACGGAACGGCATCAAGAGCCAGACATTCTGAAAGGAACGGACATGCAAGGAGCCCGGTCCATGATTGATTCATAATGGCTCAAGCAGGGCAGCACCACCCACAAGATCGATTTGCAATCGGACCAGCAGTTCCCGAAATAATTCACTCGGCCACTCAATTCCTCAGCATCTCGGCGGCCCAAAGCCATGGTGCCGCATCGGCGGATTATGTAAGCCAACCGACAGCCGTTCCTGCTTTCATTCCGGATGTCACAAAAAACCGCTGTGCTTCTCATACTCCTACTCCTTCTCCCACTAGTCCTCCTGCTACCAGAGTAGCAGCACCACCATCGCAAGCACCACTGCCATCTGCACTAGTCGCGTTCTGCCTTTGACCCGCATCTCAATTTGCAGAGAGCACATCAGTCGGTGGCGGAAACACAAACCCTTATCTTGCAGTGTGCCTCTGCACACATCAGTTTCGACTGCATCTTCTCGAATGCCCCGATCGCGTCAGGGGCGCAGCAGACGGTTCGAGTCATGGGGCTGCCCTCGATTGAAAAGGCGCACTTCAAAATGCCAAATGCTGCATCGTCACTGCACACCTGATCGAAGAAGTCCTTTTCCATTTCAGGGAGTATCCCTCCCCCCGCATCTTTTTTTGCGCCTGCGCCCAGGCAGAGAGCAACCCTCTGATGTTAATCCGGCACGTCGATGCTTGCAGCAGTAGCGCTTCTTGCCGTTGAACAGCTAAACGTGCAGCAAAACGAAACGACTTGAACGACTTAACACCCCGTAGATTCGAAATCAGGCAGCATCAACGACCGATCCCTGAGATGCGGTCCTGCGTCTCACTGAAGTCCCACTGGCCAAACGGCTAAGGAATATGTGAGAAGTCCCCATCCCCTCCTAACACGATTTTACCGGCATCACCGCAAAATTGCCTGCTTCGAGTCCGCGGGCATTGACGGAATTGCGTTCGTAACTTTTCCCACCGTTGCCCAATTACGTCATTGAATTTTCTACGTAACCACGATCATCGCCACCCGGATGCAGCGCAGAGCAAGGAGCAAACTGGCTGGCGCCCTGACCAATTCGGAGTGTAGCAAAGACTTGGCAAACAGATTCAGGCTGTTTGAACCGAGGGCTGCAGTTCACCGCTTGGGTGTGGCTTCCTGGAACGAAGCCACCACTGCAGGCTAGAATGAATGCTTCAACACACTCGATATCCCATGATCCTTCATATCTTCCAACAGCCCAGACGGTAGCAAGGACCCATGCCGTGTTGAGCCCGGGATGAAGCGTTTTCGCATGTCACCATGTCATATGAGGGTACGCTGTCGGTTGAGCTCCTCTTAATTCCCCGAAGCTGCCAGAGCAGCTCCCTTGACTTGGCCCTCTAGCATAATTACGGAGGCAGACGTTGGCGGAGCAAATGCCTTTTGGAATCCAAACGCCAGACAGACGCCAAGTGGTCGAGTTTACAGGTTTGGAACAAGCCGCGGCTTGAAACTTTGCGGCCAGGTTGAGGCAGTTCCCGACTTCACACCAGGACCACTAAGCCACTAAGCCCGAAAAGCTACTGCTCACTGCTCAGCTCTTCTTCTTCTTCGCTGCAGGGCTTCCTGCCGGGACCGCGAACCCGTGACCGGCTGATTTGTCGAACCTTGGGGACTTGGTTTCCTACTTGTAACATAGATCCGACGATTACTGCCTATTGCTATTCTTCTTTTGCTTATCCTCATTACATTTGTTGCAGGCCAAGGATGCTTTTTTTGCCTACGGCGTACGGCTTGGGGATTTAGAGCCAAGGGTTCTGTCATCTTTCTAGTTAGGCTTGTGTGGTCGCAGGGTGGGCTCGACTGCCTCCAGAGCTCGATGATGACGAAGACCTCGGTTCCACAAAGATGCAATGGGGTCGAGAGATGTCTGGATCTTCAGCGGGGTTTAGGCGAACGTGAGCTTTCGAGATTATGGAAACTCAGGGTTGAGCTTGGCTTGACGCAAACGGTTGTTGCCTCGTCAGTTCGCTAAGAGGTAGGATTCGGAGACTTTCTTGGTGACAATACTGTGACCCAGGATGTCCGAGAAGAGTCGTATGACAAAGCGGCTCAAGGAACAGCGCAGGATGGGGCCATCGGCAAAGGGAAATTGCTATACCACGATCTGACCCGTCTGGCAGGGACACGTCGAAGATTTGATTCCACGCCCGGCGTGGTACAAATTTGGCTCGTACCGAGGCTCGGGGATGCTCACCCTATCAAACACGCCCACGTTGAGACTGCATGGCTAAATCAAATGCCGCCACATGGCGAAGAGCTGCTGCTTTTTGCCTTCTTCTTCTTGCCTGGGGGCGGAAGGAGCTGCACAGGGCCCTGTGTCGTTGAAACAACGGAAAACGAGCAACTCGCCGGATGAGTGCCACCCAGTGGCTTTTCTTCTTCTTCTTGCTGTCTTTGCTTTTTTTCTTCCTGAGCAGGTTCTGAAACAAACCCTCAGCTTGGATCGAAGAACACAGTCCGGTGTCGGGACGCGTTGGTTTGAGCACAGCATGTTCTCGCACCGACCCATTCTCATTGAGAGCCACACTTGTCTTGCTTCTTCTTGTCTTTCTTGTCCTTCTTGTCCTGGCATTGCCACAAGCCCTGCCCCACAAAAGGCTCTTCATGACTGATGTGAAAGAATGAGCCGGACACTGCTCTGCTTTGAATCGTCTGCCGATGCTTAGCCACACATCTGCAAAGCACTAGGGGGAAACGAATTGGCCAACAATAATATCACATTTAGTGATTCTCGCGGACTGCTTCTCATACAAGGCTCATTACACACACGATAATATGAACACCGCCCTGGTGAAATACAGTCACATGTTCGAGTTGTTTTTGTCGATGCAAACTCTGTCGTCTTGGGGGGCCCTGTTGCACTTCTCCTCTGTGCGAACATCCTTTGACCCAGGGTTCTACACGACGTCCCCCGTATTAAACCCCTCCAAGACCCACAGGTTAAGCGTTGCGCCTTCTTCTTCTTAGGCTGTGGCCTGAGCAGCACGAGGTCGTGCTTTTTTAGGGTTTCTCCGGATTGGGTTCCCCCATTTTTAGCACTCGCACTCGAAGCTCAGGCGAGGTTCAGGGCCGACAGCAGAACCCCCAATACACCCCATGTACCCGAATCTCATGGTGCATTCTCGGCAGCCAGGCAAGGATTCTTAACGACTGGTCTTCGGATTCAGTGGCTGTCGCCCATCTGAACACCGCCACACAAGCAGATCATAGATCTAAGGCGCATCTGCCCAGCAACCTGACAAACAACGATTTACGCACCACGCCCGCTGGTCACTAGTCAAACCCAACGCCGTCGAAGTTCTTCCGACCAGTCGGATTCAGGCTTTCCAGGCACAGTGCATGTCGCTAGGTGGCTATACTAGTCTGTAGCGCATCAGGTGCAAGCACAAACAGCAAGAAGCCAGTGGCAAAGTCACAAACATTGTTGCGCTCATTCTTATTAGGAGAACTCAGTGCTCCAGAGCCAAAGCACCAAGTCCTTCATGAATGTCCGGAGCGGATAAGCTCGCGGCGCACAGCCCTGCGGCATCGACACCTTGGCATGCAGGACGGGAAAACTGATTCTGAATCTGATTCCAATGATCGTGGCCATGGCCATTCGTGTTCCGAGCTTTACCTTCCACTTGCTCGGCAGCTTCCTCAAAGCGGGACGTCGACGCCACAGCTCCACCAATCAACTCTCAGTGCTACACTGCTACACTCGGGCTTTCGAGCTCTGGCATTCCTCGTCCGCAGCTTGTGAAACCGTGGGCGGAGCGGCAGACGCTGAATTCGACGGCAGGATATAACGCGGGCTTTCGGGATGCAAAGAAGCATCGCTCACCCACGAACACGCTCCGCGTTTCAGAGCGCGAATTTGATGCACAAGGTTCGTGCGTCCTTCCTGTAGTCTTGGGCTCATGGTTTCTTGAATAGAATGGGTGCGTGCACCTCTTCTGGCCGGATGTTGCCAATGCTAGTTTAGGTTCGTCGCTGAATTCGGCAAGTAAAACACTCGCCTGCCCTCCCTCATCGCAAAGGCTGAGTAGTTGAGGCTCATCAACGCCGTCATTCATCCATCCCGCCACAATCACGAATGACTCTCAAGTAGCTTTGCGTGGTTGAAGCTCCAAACCCGGAGGGCAAACTTCAGCCGCTTAAACTACGCTACGCTACTGCCTTCAAGCCTAAAACCCAAGATCAACTCACCCATTCTCAGCCGGCACCCAAGCCCCAACAGCCAAAAGCTCAATTTCAGAAGCTCTGCGCAAGCAGATAGAACGTAGAGGGTCTGTCTGCTCAGCACCATTAAGCCGCGAATCCCACATGTATCTTTCGGAAACGCATCCTCCATGCGGCCCACCTGCACAGGACAAGTTTACTGTCAAAAGTACCCAAAAGGGGTGTCTCTCAGTCTGGGGTCGAGGTATCGAAGGGTCACTAGTGGCCCGGAGTGTTTCGGAATACCCGCTTGCTCTTCTGCGTGTCCTTCCCAGGGATTCAGTCAACCGTCGGATCCCTCCCTTGACTTGAACAACCAATCGAAACAAAGCCTCGAGGCAGTCTTGGGTTTAGGGTTTAGGGTTAGGGTCCGGCCGAGCGTCAACATGTGAGGCTAAGCTGGGTCAGGGCAAAAACTCAGGTCTCGCAGCCCGACACTCGAATGACTTAACGACAGCGTGCATTCTGCCGGTTGAAAGGGTTTCTAACGAAGCGGTTCGGCATGGTCGTGTACATGTCAAAGCCCCATGATATCGACACAGCAGGGAGCCCGATTGGCACCACGTCTCCCTCGGCAACTTGCAGTAAGCCATGCCTTAAGAGGCGATTCGGCAACTGGCCGTCATGGGGAAGAAGAACTGATTCGGACCAACCAGCAACATCACGGTTCTCTCCTGGCAAGATCGTGTTGTCTGCATGTGCAAGCTCTGGAAGATTCCCTTTCAATGCAAGCACTTAGCAGACTTAGCAGATGCGGTTTTCGCAACAGAAACCTGCAGCAACGGATTCCCCCAAGCTCCTGACCTCATAAGCAGGTTAACCGTGCAGTCTACCCTTCGATTGCCGTGTCCTCGGCCTCATACCCTTGGCACTTGACTTTCCTTGGGACCCCCAGCTGCGAAACAAGACAGGAACAACGACTTCTGCTCTCCTGCATCTGGGGACGAGCACCGGCAAGAAAAAAGACACCTGAAACCCTCAACCCGCCAACACTCAGGCACCAAAAAGGCGGCGTTAGGGTTAGAGCTTTGCCGAGGGGCACTGCAACGCAGCCTTCTGCAAGGCCTTTGGCCTCGAATCGGTCCTGTCCACATACTGTAAGCAGTCTGGGAACACCTTTGAGTCGATACCAACTCGCCCTTAAGTTGAAAATCATTCCTTCAGGGTTTTTCCATGAATCATTCTTCAGGGTTTAGGGTTTAGGGTTTAGGGGTTTGACTCCCAAAAGAAGGCCCCCCGTTGCCATTGCGGGTCCTCTGCTGCATGGGACAACTGCAGCGGCTGCTTGCTGTTGTCCAATTGCGTCACCTCCACCTACGCTGTGCACGGGATGCCAGAAGCCCCAAATCGGAACCGAAAAAAACAAAAACGAGCCAGGGGATGTCTCTGCGCGGAGCGGCTCAGAGGGCGCCCTAAGCACCCCTTTTTTGGGTGCCCAGGTCTCTGAGACTCTGACGATAGCTGTGTTGACCTTTAAGCACCCTGGCCTCGGCTTCTTCGAGGCCTTGGCGCTCTTCAGCAGCCCAGTCGATGATGCCGAACATCTCCTGAAGAATAGGGTTTTGGGGGTATTTTATGTTATAACTACAATAAGGAACCCCCAAACTAAAAAGGCTAATTATTAAGTCTTCGTGAAGGATTCAGCTTTGATTTCACGCTTGCGGTACGTGTCATGACTACCGCCGCGTGACCAACGGTGAGTAGCAACACCAGGCGTTTGCAGAGTCAGGCATCACATGCTTGGGGAGCAGTTGCCAAGGGGCACTCCAAGCAGCAGTAAAACCCCCATGACATGCAAACCCTAAGTCCCGCCGTGTCCCGCCCCTCCTGCCCGAATCTTGATGTGTTGAGCCCGGCTTTTCAAGTGCTGAGATATAGATAGGGCCACCTTGCCCTTTTGTGCTTCATGTCGGGTTTAGCACCTAATTACCAGGGCCTGGGAGTCAGGCACAGGAGACTTGGTAAAGATCTCTCAAGCAATGATGCAGAACGAAACCTCACAACAACGGTTGAGCTTTCAATATAAGGAGCCGTTTCGGCAGCCCTCATCAACAGCCCTCGAAAGCCCCAAAACCCCGCAGCCCCGAAAGCAACCGCCAATCGATGCCCCGAAGCCCCACGGCACTGTTTGCTGCCTTCTTAGCCTCTGACCTGATCCCACAGCCCTGGACATCAGGAGGCTCCTCCGTAGCCTTCGGAAGCTCCTCGGGACACCGAAAGACGTGGATGGCAAGGGACGCCTGTGCCTGTCCCCCAGGAAGGACGCGAAGATGTGAAGTTTAGGAGTTGGAAGAAGGCAAACCCAGACTTGGCGGGTATCATCGAGCCTGAGGCTTGTATGAGGACCTCCTGAGTTCTGGCTTATCGTTTCAAGCTGCCGCAGGAAGGCACCGGGGGTGTAGAGTTGCAGAAACCGTTCGACCATGCCCAAACTCAAGATTGGGTGGTTGTCAAAATTACGGTCCCTTTTTGGGTCCTTATTATAATACGGCACCTATTATTTCAGCACTCACAACTGGGACAAGCCTGGCGAGGTTCCAAGTACAGCGACGACAGCACATTGGCCAGGGCAGGCATATTCACCACACCCAAAACTCACTCACTCTAATTAAATCCCAACACTACTCATACATCACATGATCTCCTTCCACATTCCACGATCACAACATTGTCATTCCAATCTTCGCTCCTGTACGGCTCCACTGCCGAAACATGCATATGCAGCACGAAAGCATGCCGAGACATGCACATGTAGCACGAAAGCATGATACATGGCCTGTCTCAGCCCACACATCTTCATTCCCCTCCAATGCTCCAGAATTTGTGAGTGCCGCAGAAACTGAGTCGACGCCAACATTATCGACAGTCTCATCGCTTCAGCAAGTACCTATCGCTGTTACAACCACATGCACCTGCCAGTACGTTGAGCGTTGCTCAACCATTGCAGCCTTCCTCGTACGTCTTTGCCAAGCATTGTCTCCGGCCATCATTCTCCAAGATTGTACTCGGCTTGTAGGCATGCAGACTTGTCATGCATCAAATTCAGGAATTCAGTCATCTCATGCAATGCAGACCTCTTCGTACATTCTCCCAGTGCGCCCCATGCAGTACATGCAATAAATTCTCACGACCACGTTTGCTCCGTATATGCGCCACACCAGGATGTCCAGACATACATTCCATGCAGTGCATGCAACAGATGCAGTCTGCCTGTCTTCGAGTGCATCGTGGCCACGTTCCGCTCCGCGCGTCGAGGTGTCACACGGAATGCCCATACAGGCTGTGTCATTTGTCGCTTCCTTCTCCATCGCCGTCCATGCCAGGCTGCGTCTCCCGTCTTGCTGTGTGCTGTCATGTATCGCTATGGTTATCCAGCGCCACCTCTCGTATGTCAGTATTCGCGCTCAGTGCAGCAAAGCCTCACGACCAGTTCAAACCGCTTAGAGCAGCATTCACCCGGTGGAGCCTGTTGGCCTTGCTCAGAGCTGATTCCATGGCTGCGGCGCGTGGGGGTTAGTGGTTTCTACAACCAGGGTTTGGGAGTATGGCTGTTTCAACTGGAGGCGATACGACGGCACGACATTTTGGCCCTTTTTTTTGGGGGGAAGGGGGGTCCCTGCCCCTGCGAAGGGCGTAGCCCGTACATGTGGTTGTCGGTCTTCTGCTGCTGGGTCCTGCGCCCAGGGAATGTGAGTCGGACTTTTGATTGCTAAGGACAGCGAACGACACTATTAGCTGGGTGCAATCTAGAAGCTCCCTTCTACGAGCGCAGGGCGCTTGGTTTGGCTTGTAGGGGAGAGGGGACATCATTGGTAGCGGGCTTGTGTTGAGGGCGCGACTTAGGAGAGGTTTGGCTCCAAGTAGCTAATGTTTCAAGGCTCATAGCTACAGCTGCTCTGGTGTCCAAGAGCCCATCTACAGCTAGTGCGTCGGCTGCATACAGGAACGGACTGTGGGGTCGACTCGTAATGCAGTCATCGAACTCACACCTGATAAAGCGCTGGCTTTGCCGACAAATACTTCGAATCACCCAGCACAGTTCCGCGCATTTTGCGTCTCCATCATGCATCAATTCCGCCTGAGTGCGACCATCCGGCCCGACTGTGTCGTGGCAAAACATCTGCACATGCTTGTTCACGCATTCAATTCATCGTCGTGCGTCATCTGCGTCAAATTCAGTTGCAGGCATGCAGCACAAATTCCATTCACGTGCACCATCAATTCATTGCATTCATTAAATTCATACTGTAGTCATCATGCAAGACTCTCTCAGGCGGTGCGGGCACTCTGTTAACGAGTAGTAGGAAGCTACAGCCAAACTGACATGGAAACAGAGTGTGCCGCACATGCTACGATTCTGCGCCACAGCGCACCCCCAAGCAGCTGTGATAACATCGACCGTGGGATACAAATCACACGGCCGTCAGGCATCGTCAAAGGAGTCAAAGCAGGACGGCCCACCACGCTAGTCACCGGTACCTGTTCATCCAGGTTCAGCATGGTAGGCCCTCCTGTTGGAATCGGGGTGGGGACCGTTGGGGCTGTCCCTGGCTGCTGAGCCCAGGTTTGTGTCGGCGGGGAAGGGGATGCAGCTCCGTCTGCCGGCTTCGCATCCTCCCATTGTTGCTTCAGATCACTGACGAGCTGAATCACTTCGTCCACCTTGTCCCGGAGAATCACCAACCTGTCGGGAAGGTGGTCCGTACGATTTTGCACCGTCTCGATTTGGGACGTATGCCAGCGACCCAGGTCCCTCGTTTCCTTGCAGATCTTCAGCGTGTATTCGTAGTTACGCTGCATATCCGTCAGGATGTCCTGGTTTACGCAACGAATGTGTAAGCATCGATTCCGGGTCGTTGGTGTGTCTCAGCGGGACCCCAAGGAAGGTAAGGGCATCGCGCCCCTCCAACGGGACAGCACTGTTCCTAGGCCACACACCTGGCGTGACCCCCTTGATGTTCAAGACCTGACACTTTCGTGCATTGATGAACAGCCCAATACACTGCAAACTGTCCGTCAAATCCCTTAGCTTACACTGGAGCTCTGCTGCACTCATTGCAAACAACAAAATGTCATCGGCATACAGCAGAAAGTGTGGAAGGCGCAGCCCATCCTCCCATGCCGGGAACATTTCGTTCCATCTTGGCTGCAGCCCCCGGAGGTGCCTGTCTATCACCCTGGCGAACAAGTCCGCCGAGTAGCTGCTTCCTTGCATGATCCCTTGCCTTACCGGAACCGTCCATGTGTCCGTCCCCAACGACATGTGTAAACGGTTCGCCGAACAGAGTCTCCAGAGCAGACCCGCCTCCGGACATGGGTCGCACTCAGCTAAATAGCGGACGACGGCCGAGTGGGCCAAACTATCAAAGGCAGCACGTATGTCCAATTTAGCCACATGCGCCTCCACCCCATGCTTGCGCCTGAGAATCCCGACAACTGTCTGAGCCGCTAGAATCCCATCTACTGTTTGGGTGCCCCTCCTGCAGCCGAGTTGGCCGCTGGCAAACGAGGGGCACCTCGCTGCGACCCTTGTCATAATTAGTCTGCCGAAGACCTTAGACAGGCAGGGAGACAGGCATATCGGGCGCAAATCAGAGGGACAGGCTGGGACGGGGATTTTGGGCAGTAGGACTACCTTGGCTTCTGCCCAGTCCGAGGGCACACTAAGCTCGCGGAACAACAGGCGGTTGAAGTACTGAAGCAGTCTGCACTTTTCGTCCTTTCGGTGATACGTTTTGATTGCTTCGTAGCAGACTCCGTCCATCCCGGAGCTGGTACGTGGCTTGCACCTGGCAATAGCGGCCGAAAGCTCGTCCTCATGGAATGGTTTCGGTTGAACCGACATGTGTGTGCGCAGCATCTGATCTACAGCCTCTTTGGTAGGGACAGGCAAGAAGGAGGAGTATTTAGCTTCATAGAACGTCTGCAGTTCCCTTGCTGCCCGTTGCTGCCCCCCTCGGAGCTCAATGTAGCTAGTCTCGAAGGAACGCTGTGCCGCGCTTTTGCGGAGGTAAGTGATGGCCCTTCTGTCCCCCGCCCTTGCGTCCTCCAGGATCTTAATCTTATGTTCCGCTTTAGCCAAGGCCCGCTCGTGGCGAACCTTGCGCAGTAGAGCCACCTTTACGCGCGGGTCCGCCTCCCCGCGCCTGTCTCTAATGGTCTGCTTTAACTCCTGGGAGTCCTGGTAACGCAGAGACGGTGGGCGGGCCGAGTTGCTTGCACACAAATTCGCGAATTCGACGGGATCAAACGGGGCCCCGGATTCTGCATATGCTTCCAACGGCATAGGGGAGGTACACCACCTACCGCACCTGGTTTTGGGCCTCGGTGATCTCCGTACCAGAGGACTGGGGGTGCGAATGAAGTTAAAGACCGGGGAGTGGTCCGATGGCAGGGCATCTCTCATGTCATCACGTTTAAACGCCACCACTTCAACCCTATGTGCTCGCAGCAGGATAAAGTCAATCTCGCTGCTTGCTCCCCTGGCACTCCAGGTATGACCTACCGAGCGGTTGTATCGTAATTCATACTTGGAAATGAGAGCCCTCAGCAAGCCCATACCCGAAAACTCATCCACCCCTGCATGCAGGTCCTGGTTCACGTCCGCTCCAATTAGGATGACATCGTTGGAGCGCGAGTCCCGCATGCCTTCGTCGAGGCCCTCGAGGGTGTGTTTCCACACCGTTTGGTCGCAAGTCAGAGCTCGCTCGCTTGCTATGTGGAAGGTGGAGACATGCAACATGCAAATTGTGTTGGGAACATGCAACATGCAACAGTAGTCCTGCCTTCAAGGCCCTTCGGTATTGTACCGTCAGTCCTACATCTGTACGCAGCAGAACCGCCTGGCACCTGAAAGCTTCTTCCGCCGAGCACACATACATTGTGTAGGGGGTTCGACCCAGCAGACAGGGGCGGGAGGAAACTTCGGGGGTTGCATCTTTGACCCCTCCTAGCTCCTGTAAGCAAAGGACATCCGGGAGGCGCACCATGTCCTCCCACAGGTTTGAAAGATCCTCTATGGCTTTACCATGCAGGTTCCACGTGCAACAAACAAATTCGTTCTTCGGAAAAGCGCGTTTGCTCCGGCCTAGCCCCTAGCTCTGCGAAACTTCCACCTCAAAGTGTGTGTGGACTACATCCAGAGTCGTGCCTAGTATGTGTGCAACCTGTGGGCCCGGAATCCACCATCCCGTCTCCGAACCTCTCGCGTCCAACAGAAGCAATGCCCCCTCTGTGGGCTTCTTGTCGTCCCAATGCGCCAAAATACTCACCCCCTTTACCCAGAAGCACCCTCGCCAATCAAACTCAAAGTCGCCCTCGCCGAGGAACCTGGTTATCAGAGCCTTGATGGTGACGATGGCTCGAATTCTGGCTCTCTCTGCAGGGCTGCGGTTGCGTTTGGCCCAGAGATTATGGGGAGGTTGTCCGGGGATCTCGCTTGGCTTGCTGGCGTTTCGAAGGGCCTCCACACAAAGGTTCTGAATCTTCCTTCTGTCACGAAGGTTAGGCTGCATGTATCGTAAGTCTACGCGGCACGTATTAGACCTCACCGAATTCACATGCACATCCTGCAAGAGTGGGAGGCAATCAGCCCTCTCGAACCATGCTCTGACTTCCCCTTCAATGGCATCCCTCTTCGCGTCAGCCCACCCTCCCAGGGCAATTTGCCAATCGTCATGCATGCCCTCCTTAGGTGTACGAGGTGAAGCTTGACCCGAGCCCGATGCCATGCTAGGGCTATGCGACCGAAGATCCCGCAACTCTGCTTCCAAAGACGATAAACGGGATTCAAAGGCCTGAGTCCTTTCCAAATGTGAATCTTGACGACTCTCTAGCGTCCTGATCTTGTCCGACATGCTCTGAAGAGTCTTGTTGTTAACTTGCAGTTGCTCCAAGGTGTCCTGCTGCCCTGAGTCCAACCTGAGAAGACCCTGCTGCAAGTCCTGTGCCCACGGTGGCGGTGCATCGTCGCCAATGTGGTAGGTCGCAGGCAGAGCGCGCTTGTCTTTGCTTGGGGAGGAGCACCAAACACAGGTGGAGCCTGAAGACCCGGGCCTCCTATCTTAGCAGAAGCTGAAGGGGGCCCCTCAGGCCTGGCTTTTTTCCCCGGGCTACCCTGAGGCCCCGAGGTTTTAGCTTTAGTGGGAGGGGTCTGTTTGTTAAGGAGTTTCTGGGCAGCTTCGAGGGCATCATCATTTGCCGCAAAGAGGGCGTTCCGAAGTCCTGTCCCTCCCCCCATTTCCCCCCCCGTCGCAGCGAGGAGCGCCGCCTGGGCGGCATCCCGCATCTGTGCGTCTTCGTCACCTCCCATCAGCCGCCCACCCCCCACGGGGCTGAGGTCGTCGTCAATACGGGGGAGATCCATAGTCTCCTGGTCGTCAGGGGGGGTAGCCATGTGGTCCGGGACGCACGGGGGCCACGAACGAAACGGGAGAAGCTGGGGCAGTTTGCAACGGGGGAGGCCTCAGAGCAAATTGAGGAACCCAAAGGAAGCCCCGGGGGACAGCCTCCTCGTCGGCACTTGAGCCAAAATGGCTAGGCACCTATTATTTAGGGTATCCCAAAAGGGACCCTAATTTTGACAACTACCCAGATGCAGTTCTGCGAGCGGTGTCGAGTCGCCTTGTTCCCTGGTGAGCCTCAGCCTGTTACTGTTGGGCTGTTGGGGTTGGCGGGTTAGGGTTTAGGGTTTAGGG